GATAGGAGCCAGGGGTTATCTCACGGCCTCTGCCTCTGACTTCACTAGGCCCAGAGGCAGTGAAGGGAATCATCTAACGATGGCCTTGGGATCCTCACAGACAAAACCCGAAGCGAGGGCGGGGTGTGGCCCGGTGGCTCTGGGTCCCAGCCTGGACACCACAGCTTTGTACAGACTACACCTACCTTCCAGCCTTCTGCACACTTGATGCCCAGCCCCGCTGCCCCAAGAGTGCTGCTTGCCCCCTGCCCAGGAGGAAGTAGCCATCGGCCTCCTGCTGCTCACACAGCGGCCTCCCACTCTGCACGCAGCCCACCAAGCCAGGCCACTCTCCTGCTCAGATGGAGCCTTTGAAAGCACATGTCGGACCCCACACCAACCCTGCTTATGATTCTCTCATCAGACCTGGCATTCTGTCATGCAACATAGATGTGTGTGTGTGTGTGTGTCCATCCCCTCCTATAAACTGCAGTCACGTGAGAACCAAACTACTTACCTTTTATTCCCAAAATGTCTAATCAGTGCATGCTATGACCCAGGCACAACACCAGCCCCTACAAAGATGAGTCAGGAGGTTCCCTGTGGTTTGTTTAAACTCTACCAGGGAGTTGGGGGTGCAGTTCAGTGGTACAGAGCTTGCCCAACAGAAGCAAGGCCCTGGATTCCTCCCCAGCACTGAAAAGGCTAAAAATAAAAAGTGAAGGTTACTGTGGAGGAGAGAGGACAGCAGAGTCTGGTTATGTAAACAAAAACTGTAACACATGTAACATTATACACACTGGAATATGACTGTAGTAGTTCCTTACGGTTAACAGGCATCTGTTAACATGAGATCACATGATCCAAGTCTTACGCATATCAATACTTCTCTGAAGAAGCGACATCTACACAGCTGTCTGAGCACCCACAGGTGTCGACAGAGAAGTGAAAGGGCTCCTGAGTGTGTTAAGCAGACTGCACAGCTTTCATAAGGTGAGAGACTCGGTCAGATGTATACTTTAAATGACTCCTCTAATTAGAGTGCAGTCATCAGTCCAAAAGGCTGCTCAGCACATGACAGCAGAAAAATTTTTCAGCAGTTCAGCAAATACAGAAATACATGCATCAGGGTTGGTTGCTATGCCCTAGTCAGGTTTATGGCAGACCTTCGCCGGGCTCTTTTTAAATGTAGACTTTGATTGGAGGAGGATTCAAGAGAAGAAGAACATTGTAGTCAGAGGTAAAGAGAGCCCAAGGAGGGAAATAAGCTAAGAGCTGGCTGAGCAAACGTCGGGGGCTTCAGAGAGCATGAATGGTTTCATTTAGTGGGCACAGAGGGGGCAGGGCCCCAAAGCCAGGCTCACGGTTGAGACTTCACACTGGGAGGCAGCGCAGGTGCGAGCGCCTGCCTCTCAGGTGGGAGGCCCGGATTCCATCACCAGCTCTGAAAAGCAAGCAGAATGTAGCCTCCACCAGTAAGTGTGTGAGGTGGAGGGAGGGTTAGACGTTAGCAGGCACAAAGGAGGATTCAGAAGTAGCACATTTTACCAGTTACAGTAAGTGAGGAGATAAAGGCTCCAATGTGTGACACACCTGCAATAGCTGGTTAGGCCTCAGAGCACAGTGACATCGGAAGTTACCCATTGTACGCATTCCTCCTGATGCCTGACCGCAGGTGCACAGCCCACACCCAGCGATAGCAGGAGAGAGACCATTCTTCAAAGACTCTCCCTCCTTGGGTGGAGACAGGGCTGGGATTCTTACAGGATTAAGGGCCCCATGGGAACTGACCACTAGAAAGGAACAAGGAAGATAGTTTGAGATGCCAACATCCCCAAGAAACCCCTAAAAGAAAAGAGTGACAGGCACATGATTGCCAGTATGCCCTGACCTCTGTGTATAAAAGGCATCCAAACTCGCACGCAGGGCACTGCCCACCTTCTCGCTTGAAGACGTAGCTCTCTCTATATCCGTTTACAATAAACTCTACTTAGATTTCTGAATGGCTGTGTGTCTTGACTGAATTCTTTATCAAGGGCACAAAGAACCGAGGCCCAAGGAAGTGAGGGGCCTTAAGGAAGGAAGGAAGGAAGGAAGGAAGGAAGGAAGGAAGGAAGGAAGGAAGTCCTCACTGTGTCAGGACATGGCTTCCCAGTGACACGAGGACAGTTAGAAGGGTTTGAAAGAAGAGTGTTTGTTGCACCGCTTTAGGATGATGGGACATGAATCCAAAGAGATTAAAATGGGGTTCAGGCAATAGGAGAGAGGAAGGTGAGGGAAAACTGCTGCGGGAAAGGGCTGCGAGTCACCCCACAAAGTGCTGGCGAGGTTTGTGGTGTGGGACAAAGGTCACCTCACCCTCGAGCCACCTCCTGGAGCGCCTGCACCCTCCTCGGAGCCTGGGGGTTTGGATGGAGAGGGAGGGGCTGGCAGCGGGTGCACAGGCTGTTTAACAGGTGCCTACACGTGTGCACAGGTGCACACACGTGTGTATACACATGCACACTCACACACCCGGAGACACCCTATTGGACACGGAGAAAGGAATGGGAAAGGAGCACCTGCACTAACATCTTAGGCCCCACGATGCCCCGACGCAGGGCTCCCGGGAACCCCTCATCCTGGCAGGTGAGACCTGTGTGGGTCCCAGGGCCCTGGGGCCGCTCGGCTGAAGGGCTCCCCTGCTCCACTGCTCTGTGTCCCCTCAGTGGGCATAAGAAGCACAGAAATGACCGGAAGTGTGCTATTGTCTCCAGTGTGACAATCAGTGCTTAGGGATACTGAAAAAAATATTAGAAATCTTTTCAAAATTATCTACCAATCCTCTGGCCTTCAGCAGTCCACTACCTGAAAGAAGATGGCCTCGTAAATACCACAGCCCCATCCAAAAGAACAACGTCGCTTGGAGAAAGATCTTGTAGAAGATTCGGTGAATCCCTGACCCAGAAGAACAAATGCTATTTCCCCTGCCTTGTTCACAATAAACCACACTCTGTTCAGTCCCTCTGTGGTGAGTGAGGCCCTGTAGTCGAGTTCTCTCAGGTATGAAGCCGTTAAGAACCATAAGGTTTGCTTCTCACTGCACGGCTTCAGGCTGGAGCACTGAGAATGTCTTGGCTGAAGCCCAGCAATTACCAGCAAATTAAAGGATGGTTCTAGATGGCATTTAATGTGTCATCATTTAGCCAATGATTGTTGTTTTCATTGGGACATTTTAGAACTTCAATTAGAGGCTTGCTGGGTCTGATTAAGTGGTAAACTTTCCTTATGTTTCGTGGCTTCTTCCTGTCTCTTTAATGGCTGCAGAGGCCACAGGGAGGGTAATTAAACATGGCAACCTGAGGATGAACAGCAAGGTATCAACATGCATATGGTTCATCTGCTGAGACATCCTCCCTAATAATAGCCAAGAATCACACTGCTAGGACACTCAGCCAACTTTTCTCAACAATGTGGGCTCCCTTTCCAGTATCTCTGTAAGCTTGGGGGTGTCTCTGGCCCCTTTACAATGTACCTGCAGACACTGCAAGATAAGGGTATCACTTAGGTCAAGCAGCGTGTGGGCAGCAGATAGGCAGCTCAAGTCCAGTCCCAGTCTCCTCCCAGGCCCACGACCCCCCTGCCTAGAGCACTGGTCAGCTCCACAGCTTCTCCTACTTGAAAGGAAGGCCACACAACTAGCAAGGGAGTTATTTGCATTATTTTCTAAAAGATCAGTATAACATGTGGGCAGGTCAGTCTTTCCAACATACCATTACACAGACTTTAAACCAAATATAATAAATACCATGCCAAATTGGGACTACAGACAGCTTACTAAAAATACATGCACACAGGACCACAAAACCATTCTAGGTCAAAGAGCCCAGGACAATATAAAGTTCAACTTCTTGACTACTGTTTATCTTCACTGGTATTAATAACAAAAAGAACAACACCATCTTCACGATGTTATTTGCAAGGTTGTATCTGACGATCGTTTCCCTGCCTGAAATTGGAGGTCAGAGTCACTGGAAAATGCCTGTAGTTTGCACTTTCCCAAAAGTCTTGAACCACAAAAAAACAAAAACAAAAACCTTTGCTAATGCATGACCATTGCCCAAAAGTAACAGATGGTGTGGAAACATGGTACTCTGCCCTTCCACATCAGGAGGAGGATTAGAGGGAAATCGAGGCTTTGATTTAATGGCGCCTCCTAGCCCCTCTGGAGTTCTGGGAGCCCACCAGGCCCCTGCGTGCCAGGCCACTGCTCTGCAACCAACAGGTGGCCCCTTACGCACTCCAGGGTCTGCCAGGTGTCCCGAAGCCCGAGGGCATCAAATGACTGGAGGCACTGTGTGTACACACTGCCAAATGTAGTTTCTGCTTTTAATGATTTTAGGGTCAAACACTGGACCTGACAGATAAGAAACACAGTGCGAGCCCAGCCGGCCACCCAGTGAGCCATGAGCTCGGTTTCCAGGTGTCCTCGGTTTCCCTATCTGTCCCATGGGCGCTTCGACCCTAGCTGCCTCAGGAGGTGCACAGGAGCCAGGACAGTGGCAGGCAGTGTTCACACCGCCGATGAAGGGCAGCCGAGGAGGAGCGCGGCGCCCGCAGCCACCTTTCTGCTGTCCCTGTTCCCGTTCACGCGCACCATCAGTCTCTCAGGGCAGTTTCCGGCCCTCGGCTCCCCCAGAAACTTCGTGTAACATCTTAGGACCTCGAGGCCCTGACCTCCGAGCTCGCTATGAGGACAGCTGTAGCTCTGGCCGCCAGATCCGCACTGGGTCACCAGCCGGGCCCAGAGGGTCCCCTAGCCCGCACCGCCGCGCCGGGACGGCTCTGTGCACTCGCAGGGCCCCGGCGTGCACGCGCAGAAGTCCGCGCCCCCCCCCGCGCGCGCGCGCAGGGTCCCGGCGTGCGCGCCCAGAAGTCCGGGCCGCGCGCGGGGGGGTCGTGCACCCGCAGGGTCCCGGCGTCCACCCGCGTGGTGGAGCTGCGCGCACTGAGGGTCCCCGCCGCGGCCGCGCCCCGCGTACCTGGTTGAAGTGCAGCGCGCCCGGCCCCATGGCTCCCGCGTGGCTGCCGTGGCCAGCGCCCAGCTCCCGGAACAGCAGCCCGAGCTGCGCGGCAGAAAGACTGAGGTTGGCGCCAAAGGTGCTGAGCACGTCCTCGCTGAAGGCGCGCGTGGGGCCCTGCGCGCGGAGCCCGGGCGCCGCCAGCAGCAGCAGCGCGGCCGCCGCAGCCATGGCCAGGAGGGGCGGGCCCGGGTTGGGTCAGGTCCGGTCCGGTCCGGGGCGGGGCGGGCAGGGCTGGTCGAGTCCCGGTCCGGGTCCGGTCCGGCTAGCGGGGCGCCGCGCGGGGCCTCGGGGTGGCGCGGGACGATCGTGGGCGCGGACCCGGCCTGGCGCGCAGCCTGCGGGAGGGGACGGACGCGGTGAGGCCCGGCTCCACCCTCTCTGTCCCCGCCGAGGTGGACACGTGGGGCCCCGGGTCGGAGCGGCTCCACCGCCCTCCCGCCCGGCCCGGCGGCGCGCGCCTGTCCTCCAGCACTCGGGGAGGCTGAGGCAGGAGGTTCGCACGTTCCAGCCCAGCCGGGCAACTGGGCGAGACCTTGTCTCAAAATGAAAAATGCAGAAGGGTTGGGGACGGAGCTCGAGGGCCGGGTTCCACCCGTGCCAGGGGCAGGGGACCCTTCCTCCCTGACCCGCTCCCCTTCCTGGTCGCTCTCGGGCCGGGCAGGTTGGGGTTCCCGGCCCAGCACCTGTCCCGCCCGCGCCGCGTCTGCCGCGTCTGCGTCTCTGTGTGCCGAGGCGACACTGCCCCTGAGTCCCCGTCCTCCGCTCCCGCGGGGAGCCCGTCAGATAAGAGGCGGCCCTGTCCCCGCCCCGCCTCGACCCCGCCCCTCCCGGGGCCCCGCGCCCCGCGGCCACGTCCAGGCCCGGCGCGTCCCCGGCGGTGTCGCGATCACCGTTACCTCGGCGTCCTGGACCGGAGCCAGCAGCCCCTCATGGTCTCGGACACCGACAGGAATTGCTTTGGTTGCACTTCTGACCCTCGGGAAAAAGAGGAAGCCGAGTCAGGAGTGTGCAGGGCGGACAGGGCTCTTCCTGCCCTGGCGGGACATCCGCAGATCACAGGCGGTTTGTTTGTTCGGATGAGGGTCACGACGCTCTGGCTCGGGTGTGAGCCCAGCGAGTTTGTGCGACGCCAAGGTGGTGTTTGGGGACAAAGGTTGTGCCTGCCGGGCGCAAAGTGAAACCGGGCCTCGCCGTCGGCTGCCAGGGAGCCTCGGGCCGCGCAGCCCGGCGGCCACACACCAAGAAAGAGACACGGAGCCCGAGCCCCCGGAGCAGGTCAGCAGGACGGGAGGGCCTCACCTGCGGGGGCCTTGGGGCTGAGACGCGAAGAAAGCCAAGAAAGCGAGGGAGACAGAATCCGGGAGCCGCCAGGCCCAGGACAGGACAGGGAGGCGCGCCGGGGGGGGGGCAGGGGGGGGGGGGGGGGGCCGACGCAGTAAAAGCGCGGTGCGACCGGCCCAGCTAGGGACTCCAGGACGTGGCCTCTCCTGGCGCAGTCTGCACCTCTGCTAGCAGAGATCTCCAGAATCACTGTGCAAAGTGATTCACCAAGGCCGGAAGTCACTCCTGCCACTGCTGGCGTCCAAGCCTTTTATTGGGTTTGTTAGTGCAGTTTGTTGCCTGTTTTTCCTTTTGGCCTCCTGGCTCAAGGGGTCCTTTAGGAACCAATGACTCCTTGAAAGCCTCCTCTGGCCAGCCTGGTGGCGCACCCCTGTACTATCGAGCCAGCACTAGCGAGGCTGAGGTAGGAGGAACGCGGCAAATTTGAGGACAGCCTGGGCTACAAAGTGAGACCTTGTCTCAAAAAATATTAAATTAAATTACATTTTTTAAATATAAATAAATAAAAGGCTCCTCTATTACCCCACAAGCTGTTCATTCCCAGCTCCTCCACAACCCACTTTGCTGGTTACAAAGGGGTATATGGACAGTGCTATGTGGATTTTTCAACAAAGACCGTGAGTTTTCAATAATGCAAGTTTTATATCGTGGATTTTTTTGAAAATATAATTTATCAGTCATTCGTGTCACTCACATTTTGCTCATCCATCAACCCTACAAGACGAACAGTAAGATGGGTGACAATCACCCTGCTTGACAGCTTTTCCAAGTACAGGTAACATAACACAAGCGTGCAATTGGCATTCAGAAAATGACAAGGTAGAAGCTCCCAAGGAAGTGAGCTAATTTCTAGAGCTTCCACCCTAATAAGCTAAAAGCGCCAAAGCACTATTCAGGTCATTTGGGGCCTCACGTAGGGCACCCTGACAGCAGCAGCATGGCTGAAGAGAAAAACTACCCTCCTGGAAGAGAAGGCAGGAGGCACAGCCTCTGTCTCTTGGGAATTTGCCTTAGCATTCAAACGGTTTTCAGTAACAATGGAGCGAGTACCAGGAGCACCAGCAGGCCCTGGGAGCTGCCCTTTCCACTGCTGACTCAGGAATCCCGAGAGTCGCTGGACCTCGCTGGGTCCGGCGCCCTCATCGATAAACCAAGACAAGTTAGTAGGGGCAGCAAGAACCATCCCAGCCTTTTTACTTCTAAATGTCTAATTCATGTATCAGGAAAAAACACGAGACCCGCAGAAGTCAAGGAAAAGTCTAATTCTCCAGCTGAAAGGACAGTTGACTTCAAATCTCATTTTTGCTTAATATCTTCAAATTCTTCTGAGCCCAAGTCTTTCGTGACCATGACAAATGAGGAACAAATGTATTTCTTCTAAACGTCTTCGTGCCCGTGTGTCCCTGGGCAGGACTAGAAAGGACCCTGAAGACCCAGCCCTCCCTCCTGCCCTTTCCCTTCCCATCCTGGAGCTCCTGGGTGGAGCACAGCTCAGAGCCCAGTGGCCCCAAAGTGGGTACCAGAGCCCCAGTGAGGGCAGAGAGACTCCAGCAGGAGGGGATGGAGTGGGCAGCTGGCGTGTGAGGGGTCACGGATCTGGGAATGGTATGGGCTACGAGAAGATGCCCTCAGAGGTAGGCATGGGGGTGCCTGGCAGGGTCTGCTAGCTTTCAGGGGGATGAGGGGTGCATCCTTCTCAATATAGCCTACTTGGAAGAGAGGGAGGCCTGGGGTGGCTGCTGGAGCCCGAATGGAGTGGAGGGAATCCATGGAGATAGAAAGAGACAACCAACACAGGAAGCTGGGACTGGGCAGGTGAAGCAAGTGTCTGTGCTGATGGATACAGAGTGATAGTGATGTTCCTGGGGTGGGGGTAAGGAGCAGCAGCCTGTGGGGAAGGGAAACCAGGACCCAGGAAGCATAAGAGAGGAAGAGGGAATAGGGGAACAGAACTGGATTAATTATGGTATAGGTCAACATTCCCATCTTTGGGGAAAAAAATAGCTGATGTCAATGTCTGAAGCTTAAGGAGGGTTCAGTCCATGGTTGTAGGCTCCAAGGCAAGGCCATCATGGCAGAAGGACCTGGTGGAGCAAAGCTGCTCAGCTCGTGGTGGCCAAAAGCAGAGAGAGAGAAAGGAGATAGGGACAAGGATGCAAACTCCCAGGTCAGCCTCCGTCGACCTGCCTCTTCCCACCAGACCCTACCTGGGAACAGTACATCACCCATTAATTCCTCAAGGATGAATCTGCTCATGAGCACAGTACACCCATGACCCAGTCAGCCCCCCCAAAAGCCCCACCTCTGAACAGGAGTCTTGGGGGGCATTCTAGATCCAAAGCATAACAGCTATACACAAGGTGCTATGCTTTATATCTAGATGTCCCCCAAAGCCTCATGCACTCATAGGTGGGGCTTTGGGGGATGACCTGAATCATGGGTGTGTGATGCTGGATTAATCTACTGATGGGTTTACAGCTGGGCATGATGTTGTGAGATGAATCCTGATTGGAGGAGGTGAGTCACCGAGGGCGTGGCCCGGAAGGGTCTGTCTCCTCCTCCTCCCTTGATCTCTCTCTACTTCCCACTGCAGTGCCAGGAGCTGTTTCTCCTCTGTCAAGCCCCTCTGCCATGCTGCCTTGCCTTGAAACTAGCAGAATAGGAACTCAAACGGTGAGCCAAAATGAATCTCTCCTCCTTCAAGTTGTGGGTGTCAGGTATTTTGTCCCAGCAATGAGAAAGTAACTAAAACACAAAGGAATTGCTTGAATAAATAAGTATACTGTGGGTTATAGCAACCAGTTTTCTCACAGTTAGAAAATGAAATTGGAAATGTAAAGAAGGAGAAAACAAGACTAGACCTTGCTAAAATTGGCAACATCAGTATCAATTAATGGTCTCCATAGAGGAAAACGGAGGTCTAGACAGTTATACATAATTCCCAGCTTCATCACTGCAGGCCTGGAAAGAACATGCCAACAGCAAGGAACGCAGTAACTAAGGCACTGAGAGTGGCTTCCAAGTGTGATTCTTCAAGAAACAATACCAGAGCTCTTGAGGAAAAGGGCTGACTCCAGCAGCAGATAGATGAAGAACAAGATGAACCCAGAATAGCTCCTCATGCTTGAAAGCAAGGAAATGGGCCTGGCCAAAGATGTAGGAAATACAGATGAATTTATTTCAGGAGAAAGGGGTCAGATAGCAACTCACAAGTAAAAGTCTATTGTGCTTTCAACTTTTGAGTAGCATTGTAACTATTTGTAACTTTTGTATAACATTGTAACTGCTTACAACTTATATGTAACATAGTAACTACTTATAACTTTTGTATAACATTGTAACTGCTAGCAACTTTTGTGTAACATTGTAACTGCTTGTGACTTTTGTATAACATTGTAATTGCTTGCAACTTTTGTGTAACATTGTAACTGATTCAAAAAAAAATTTTTTTTTTGGTACAGGGGATGGAACTCTGGTCCTTGCACTTGTGCAGCAGGCAGCGAAAACCATTGAGCTAAATCCCCGACCCTGATTCAAAATTTTAAAAAGAAACATTGAGTACTATTAAGGAAAGGAAAAGTTTGGGTAACAGATTACATTGAAAGTAAAATTAAAATTGTGCTAAACTGCTAATTTTATAAATTCCAGTGAAATTAATGTCCTTATTAATACATCTTTTCAGTATTTGCATCACCATGCCTACTGTCTAGGAATCCAACACTAAACTGAGACCCCCATTTTACCTCTACAAAGCTGGGATCATAGGTCAGAGAGATGTGAGACCATTGCAGTGGTGAAGATTTTAAAGGTCATGGCAGAGCTGAACATGCAGGAGGTCCTGGATTCAAAACACATGCGTGCACACACACATGTACACCCACGCACGCACACATACACACAGCAGTGGTGAGAGAGGAGCTCTGTGGCTGCAGGTGATAGTGAGCAAATAATTCATAGGAAGGGCACCCTGAGTTAAAAGAGTGGGTAATAGTTTGACAGACGAGGAGACACACATCCCAGGAAGAAGAATGCTAACTAAAAAGCCCAGGATGCCTCAGAATGCAGGGGACAGTGACAGAACATGGATCTGAAGCACTGGAGCATCTGGTACAATAAGGCAGTCAGGACAGCCTGCAAGTCCCTTTGGACCCAAGACATCTAGTGACACAGAACAAATGCCTGCAAGGATCTTCTGCTCAAAGCAAATCCCCTCCCCAAGTTTAAGCTTCCTTTTTGATGTATTGCCAGTATTGAATAATATTCAGTCCCCGTTATTACAAATATACTACAGCTCAGACTCTTAAATAAGGACAAAGCCAGTGGCTCCACCCAGATCACCTGTCTACTTGGCCACTGATACTGAGACCACCAGTGTAGGAACCAGTTCCCTGCAGGCCTCTCTGAATTTGTCCCTCAGTCTATAAAGTAGGGATCAAGGGAACTTCTGCTTGGTTTCAGTTTCATCACCAAGGAACTATGACAGCCGGATGTGCTAAAGAATGGAAAACCCCTCACCAACTGCAGGTGTTCTCAGAAGCTAGGACTGCAGAGTAACGTGACCGGGGTGACAGGCATGGTGGCCACCAGTGGGAATGAGGTGAGGCCACCAGGAATATCCCAGAACAAAGAGTGCTTTT